ATAAATCCAGTATTAAATTTAAATTATTTTAGTCTTAAATTTCATCCTAAACTTTATTAAAGAACAAAAAGCACATAAAATCATTTTCGGGTCAACCCCCAGCCTCGAGCACGCCCTGGGGGGGGGGGGGAGGGCTCTGAGCAACAGAACTGTCACAAAATTTCATATTTCACTTTATTTTTGTGTCGTTTGACAAATGTTTGAAATTGACAGCCCAACAAGAAATGAAATGAATGAGAATAAAATACAGAAATACAGAAGTGAAGAACTAAAGAACTGAAAGAGCAAAGCGAATTTCAGATACTCTTGGCATTTGATACAAATCAATCATGGATATTTGTAGCCATCAATCACATTTATGATGCACTTCAATTGTCAGACATTTTTGCCAGCTATGGAAACCCTCCACACACACACATACACACACACATACATACGAGGCTTTCCCTCATGGGGCAGGTCAGTGAAAATGTTGACACAAAAAAGAGAGCCAGCAGTCACAAACAGAAATCAAACAATTTGTAGCCGACTCGCAACAATTGGTAACCGTTGGCTGGAGGCGGGTGGGGCGCAATGTGGGCGTGCCTGTGCTTCCTAACAATGGCTACGGCATACGCCTACAGTTTAACCTGACTCTCAACCTTTATGTTAATTTCTCATTCATTTTTGGAACTGGTTTTGCCATAGATCTCGGCGCTTTATGAAAACTCACTCAAGTGCATCGGGAACTACTGCTACAAGGGGAACGTGCAGTGATTTAATTTTTTCAGTCACTGGAAAAAACATGCGGGGGGTGAGGAGTGGCGGGGGGAAATTCAATTAAAATGCACAAAAGCCTCGCCGTCTCGTCTCGCCTGGCCAGGGCCTGACCTTCTCTCTCACCGCCTCGAAAAGAAAATTCCAAAAACCAATTATTGTTGTAGCCGCTCACGTGCGAGCATGTATGGGGATGTATGTATGCCCAAATAATACAATTCCCAAATACAAACAAAAAAAATGCGCCAAGTTAAATTGAATTTGTTATTAAAACCCAATTTACGCAGAGAGAGAATATTTGCATTGCATCAGAAGTGCTGCTCTGACAGTTGCTTCAAACTCCAGCCACAAACTTTCATATCAAATGCAGACGTCAAGGCAGAGCAGAGCCAGCATGTACATATATACTGGTATACATATGTATATGTATAAGTGGGTTCTGCCACAAATCGCGCATTTGCCACCAGCCAACAGGAATGTCATTTACTTATTTTTTTTTTTTTTTGATTTTGTTTTTTTCTCTCATACGACAAATGCGAAATTTTCATAACAAACAACCAACAAATATTTTTTCGCATAAACATGCAAATTTCTCACTCAAACTTGGAACATCTCAACCTCAACGCTGCTCAACGCTGAGGACGCCCCCACCACCACCAGCCCAAGCTGCTCTGCTCCTCTCACTGTTTGCACTTATCTTCTCAATGAGTAATTTGCATGTTAAAATATATTGCACATACATATATATTTGCTTATATATATTTATCTTTGCTTGCTTGCTTTTTAGCATTTGTTCATGAACTTCACAGCACTGAATATGGTGGAAAAAAAACGTGCTAAGGGCGACATTTCGACTAGAAGATACCTGCTACCTCGAGCAGTGTCTAAGGAGAAGCTCTCTGCACTTTATTTCTTTTATAATAGCTATATAACTGGTCTACTTCTGAATTTCCTTTACACAGGATCAGAGGCAATTATTTTGTGTGGGTTGAGGGATAAGATACAGAGGTGTATGTAGCTTGGAAAAAGTGTTCTTAAATATATAAAGCAAATATATATCACAAGAGTGTGGAGCAGCAAATACAGTTGCCATAGCTCTAATATATATATTCTCTATAGCGCAGTGAGATCTGTAGAGTTTATAGTATGGCTAAACATGGCTACATCGACTCGTTACTTAATGATCAAGAATAAATGTATACTCATTATGAGATCACAAGCCTTTCCTTCTGCCAGTCACATATATTTTCGCGAATACAATATACCCTTTGTCTCTCATGCCGGTGCACTCGTACCCAGGGTACCCAGGGTACACCAACCATATTTCAAACAAAGCTTTGCATTGTCAACTATGCCACGGGGAGTGAGGGCCATGGTGGGGAGTCGGCAGGAAGAAGCTATATCCGACTATAGCTTGTCAAGTGGCTGACTAACAAGTTTCGTTTACGTCGCATCTCGGGAGCGAGCTCCGTCCGTGTCCGTGTCCGTGTCCGTTTCGTGCTCTCACTCAAATTTCATTGTGCTCTGGGGCCCCAAAACATTTTGATTTATGAGCAAATTGAAATAGCAAAAAAACCAAAAAAAGAAAAAAAAAACAAAATGTAATATTTACGTAATAATTCTTGGGAAAAAGCACAGCAAAAAAGCAGCAGCTTTAGGAAATATTTTGTGTCGTGGAATAATTACCTCTGAGGCAATATAAAATACTCCTACAGATGTGTGAGAATACAAACGGAACGTGCAAAGTGAATACGACACGTGTCTGTGTGGCTGAAATAATGCTAAACAAATGCCCGATGACTGGCCTCATCGACACAGTGAATGAATCATTCAATCATTGAACATTTGTTCATTTGGGTGACTAAATAGCCATAAATATGAGTGAGTACAGAAATAATATTGAATGTCGTCAGGCAGGCAGGCATTAAAATTATAATTGAATAATTGAATATACTGTATGGATATGAAGACCGACATTTAATTTACTTTTAGCTCAAATAATCCGCTTATAATTTGGTGCAAGTCCTTGCACTAATTTACTCTATCGTTTACTGACATAGATATAGCAATGGATATGCTAGAAATATATTTAGAAATTTGGTAAGATAAAATAGAAAATCAGGAAGGTTTTTCCGCACATACGAGGAGTCTTTCCACCCACTAATGAGCGCAGCCTGAGTACTTTTAAGTAAAAGCCATTAAAAGCAAGTTCTGAAAAGAGCTCCCCTGTTTTATTATATTTAAATATTACTTTGCGTAACAATTTTATCGTGACTTAATGCCACCGTCTTGAAGGTTCTTTGCCAATTTGCAATAATTTTACAGGCCATTTTTGCTCTGATGCTGCCACAGGATCTGTCAAGTCATTGCAAAAGCCACAAAAAGGGGCAAAGCAACTGCAAAATGCGGTACGAGTATTTGCCAACTTCATTCAATTTCTGGCATGACTTGCTACTGTTACTGTTCCTGATGAGCCATGGCAACAAGCTGTTGCTGGCTGCTGTTGCTGGCTGCTGCTGGCTGCCATGAGTTGGCATAAGGCTCTGTCGAGTCGGCTGTGCCAACTCAATAAAGTAATATTGGAATTGCTTTTGGCAAGCAGTCAATTGAAAGGACAATTGCTGGCAGTCAATGTTGCCTCGCTCGATTCCCAGATTCCCCGATTCCCAGTTCCCTCAACCCAATGAACTGCTAACCCAGGCTCGTGAGAAATTGTCTGGCATAACTGCATGGAACCTGCTCCATATACTCGCACAAAATATACATGTATGGATGGATGGTATGGGGGCTCATTTAAATCAAATTCCCAGCGGCAACAGCAATTATGTGTAGCAGCAGCAGCAGCAGGCAGGCAACAAGTGGATACCTCTACCTGTCTCGCTCCCTTCTTCTTTCTACATTCACTCCGCTGGAAAATTGCCTCCGGTGCGACAGCGGCAATGGCAACAATTTTCATGCATTTTTTAGCCGCTTTTTTTAGCCGCTTTTTTTAGCCGCTTTTTGTTGTTGTTGCATGTTTACACAATTTGCATATTTGCAACGAACTCTGTGGCATGCAAGGGGCGTGATTAACAACTTCCCTTTTTCGGAGCAGGAATTGCCTTCGTGCACACTTGGTTAGGCACTGAAATTGACACTTTCGAGGCTGTCTGGCCGTCTGGCCGTCTGGCTGTCTGGCAGTGATAATAGTTTGATGGAAAAAAAGAGAGACTGACGGACTGACTGACTGACTGACTGACTGACAGTACGCGTAATGGCAGTAATGATTGCGAAAGTGTTTGTTATGAAAGGTATTTAATCTGTTCATCGGAAACTAAAGTCTTGGATTACAAAATCAGCCAGATATAAGTAAGAAAATCAAAGCTGGGTAATAGATGCAAATACCTGTGGCACCTTTTAGCCTTCTACCCTTTAGCCCTTGGGCAATTCCACCAAATCACTGACTAAATCTAAACCTAAGCCTAAGCGCCATTATTACCTAATAAATCCGCACTTAAATAATCTCGCAATTATCACACATCTCCTGCCCGTGTTTTATTCCTAATGCCAATCTGTTTCCAAGTGCTCACCTCAGGTTCTTCGCAGCCGGCGATTGGCATGCAGTGCCCTCTGCTGCCACTGTGGAACAATTCCTTTGATAAGAGTCACGCTTCACAGTGACGAAGCACAATAGCAGCCGGTACTAAGTTGCTAGATGCTAGTCTTATCGCCACCAACTATAAATCAGGCAGGGGGACACTAGCCAGACTCAGACTCCGCAGAGAGGGAGATGCAGGAAGAGCAACAGCAATATACAGAAATGAATAATGATTAAATGATGCCTCCAAACATATACATATGTATCTATCTATCTATCTTCATGGCACAAGAACTTGTGCTCCAATCTCCTACTTGTAGGCCCATGGCCCTGAGAGTTCCTCCTGTGATCTACCCAACACTGAGTACGAGGTGGTTTTGGGACACACAAAAACTTGTCCAGACTTTGATAATGACATGGTACAGCCGCTGCTGTATAAATTATTATCAGGATCAGTCCAACGAAGGGCAGGCAGGCAGGCAGCAGCAGGCAGCAGACAGACGAGACTGACTGCCCATTATCAGGCAAAAACCACGCGGGAAAGAGACAGCAGACAAAGACAGAGAGAGAGTGAGAGTGAGAGATAGCATGGCCGGCATTTCGAAAATTGTTTTGTGTTTTATATATTAAATATATATTGTTTTGGTCAGACCAGATTGACTTGCAGTTGTCTTGTCAGTTGCCAGACGAGTGCCGCTTCGATCGCGACTTTCGATTTCGTTCATCCTCAGCATCATCGGCAGGCACCAAGGCACATTCCCAAATAGGCAGCCAGCCAGCCCTGCCAACTCATAGTAATTATCTCCCAGACGAGACGAGACGAGACGAAAGACTCTTTTTCTGTGATCCCGGGGCAGACAGAGTCCCTCAGTCTATCAAGGGCCGTCAGCGTTTCAACATCATCTTCCAACTGCTTCGACATGTGGCTGCTGCTGCCCATACTGCTCTACTCGGTGATCTTTCTGGCCGTGCGACACATCTACAGCCACTGGCGACGCAAGGGCTTCCCCTCGGAAAGGGCCGGCATCTCGTGGTCTTTCCTGCATCAGGCCTATCGCCGGGAATTCCGACATGTGGACGCCATCTGCGAGGCCTACCAGACGGGCCGCGAGCGTCTCCTGGGCATCTACTGCTTCTTTCGGCCCGTTCTCATCGTGCGCAATGTGGCACTGGCCCAAACGATGCTGCAGCAGTCGAACGGGCACTTCAGCGACCTGAAATGGGACTATGTCAAGGGCTACAGGAGATTCAATCTGTTGGAGAAGCTGTCGCCGATATTTGCCACCAAACGGCTGGCGGAGATGTTTGGCCATGTGCAGCGTGTGGGCGATCATTTGATATCGCATTTGTTGGACCTGGAACAGGCACAGGGCGGGGCACTGGAAGTGGACTTGCAGCAGATGTTGAGAGTGTAAGTGTAGGACTTGAAGCATCCAAAGAGGGACCTTCTAACCGGATTCCCCTTGCAGTTATGCCATCAACATTATCGGAAGTCTCATCTATGGTCTGGATGTCAACAATTTTGAGCAAAAGGATCACATTCTCAGCAGCTATGTGAGCAGGAGCGCAGGCAATGCCAGTTCTCAATCATTGTAAGTGGAGCTTAACCCGCGTCTCTCTTTAATTAATAGCACTAGCCCATCCCGCAGCACCCTAAGTCGCCTGCCACAGAAATCCTCCTTCACCTACCGCCTCAGGGATCTGATCAAACAGGCCGTTGAGCATCGCGAGGAACATGGCCTGATACGCAAGGACATACTGCAGCTGCTCATCAGATTTCGCAATGGCAACGATGTCGGCGGGGAGAAGTGGCAAGTAGACATGAAGAATGGTGAGTGGAGAGTCTGATTTGGCATTGATCTATTAGCTATAAGTCTGCTCTTCCTTTTGCACAGAAGAAGACAAACTTTTGTCCATCAAACGCGTGGCCAAAGTGGCTGAGGATCTGCTCAAAGTGTCCCTGGACTCGGTGTCCTCGAATATCACGCTAACACTCTTTGAGATACTACAGGAGCCGCTGATTGTGGAGAAACTTCAAGCTGAAATCAAGGAACTGGCCACTGAGAATAATGTACTAAAGTTTGAGGCGCTCGAAGGTCTCAAGTACATGGATATGTGTCTGAAAGGTGCGTAAAACTAATCCAATTTGGGTGTGCAAATACAATATTTTTGGTGTGTGTAGAAACCGTTCGCAAGTATCCGCCGTTGCCCATCATTGAACGCATTTGCCGCAAAAGTTATACGCTGCCCAACACTAAGTTCACCATTGATGAGGGCATAACGCTGATGGTGCCCCTGCTGGCCATCCACCGGGACGAGAAGTACTTCAGCGAGCCCCTGAAATACAAGCCGCTGAGGTTTCTACACGCGGAAAAGTCTGACGAGTGCCAGAGCAATGCCTTCATAGGTTTCGGCATTGGCGGAGCTCAGTGTGTGGGTAAGTTTTAACACCAAAAACTTTGCACCAAGAGATCAGATCGGCGAACTTAGAGCATGTTTTCACCCCCCCTCTCTCTTGTAATCCCCAGGGCAAAACTTTGCCAGGATGGTCATCAAAGTTGCGCTGATCAAGCTGCTGCAGAACTTTCATCTGGAATTGGATGCAGCCCGCGCGGAGAACATAGAAATTTCGCATCAACCAGCGCCGTTTATACGCACAAAAGACGGTCTGAAAGTCAGGTTGAAAAGACGCGAAATAAAGTCGAAATTTTACAACTAAGCTAAAAGTAAATTAGTAGCGAGAGGCGAGAGGCGAGGTAGCGAAACTCTTTCAGCTGTTAAGTTCTTTAATTTGTGTGTGTGTGCCGCCCCATACCCCCACGCGTCACACCTTTTTCAACACTTTGTTGTCTGTGCGAGGCACCTAAAATTATGCTATAAATAAAATGCAGTATATTACGGTCACAGCTCGCTCGGGGTGCGGTGTGTTGTCGGTTCTTGTTTGCCATTCGCTTCGTTAACTTTTGCAAAATGGCAAAGGTCCTGGGGGGCACAAGGACCCGACCGTATGAGGCAACGGCAAACGCCAAAGTGAACGCATTAAATTCGTCACTCCAATGTGCCTGTTGTTGTTTACGCCAACTTCCCGGTGATAGACACGGGATTGGATTGGATTGGACAAGGACAAGGACAAGGAGCAGATACTCGTATGGAGATACCAATCCAAGATAGATGGATAGATAGCTAGCCCGAATCACAGCTCGGGCGGAAAAGACATGTGCTACGATTTGAGCTCATCATTAAATTTGATTTGCTACGTTGCCAATCCAACATGACAGCACAGCGCCTGGATGATGCCTGGATACCATTTCTGAGAATTCCATTTCCATTTCCATAGCCAAAAGTCAGAGAGTATGACTGTCTGTCTGTCTGTCTGTCTCTCTGTTTGTTCCGGGCTGAAACACTCATCTCATCTCATTTTGTCTCGTCTCGTCTGGGGACTGCCAATCCATTTGAAGTGCTGTGTATGAGTACTCACTCGCCATGGGCCAGGCAATCGGGCCTAAGAGGCGCCTCTAATGATGCCGCAATTAGGCCGCATTATGGACACATTTATCATCCCACAGACCAGCAAATAGAGAGAGCGGGAATAGAGCGGGAAGACCAACCAGGCCCAAATGGACAATGTCACAAACAAATGGACTCTAATGAGCGTGCCAAGTATTTTACATTAATGAAAACTTTTCTTAGCTGGCCCTGCCCATCACATTAATTGGAGTCTGAGCCCGAGCCTGAGACCGAGCCGGAGTCCGGGCTAAGCCCCTAGATAAATGACCTGGAAACTTTTTCCCAAAAATCCAGCAAAAACTTTATGACTTTTGGTCGGACCGGCATTAAAATTGAAATTCAATCAAACCCAATCAGCCTGCTGGCTTACAGAGCGAGGATGTAACACAACAATTTAAAGAGCCAAGAACAACCGTGCAGGCTGCTCTTCGAAAAATAGACAACATCCAGAGCAAGTGGAGCACTTCACATAGGTGTTGTGACCCAGTTTGTGTGCTGCTGGATGCTGGATGGTGGCTGGAGGTGTTCCCAGGGCAAGTGTCGGATATAAATTGCATGAGAGCAACCCGAGTCGAGGGGAATTTCTCGTGTTCTGCCGCTTCACACCCATACCCATGCCCACACCCAGACCTAATTCCCTTTGGCAACATCTTCGCTATGCTAACCATTGTCCTGGTTACATTTAAACATTACTCATTCCACATTAAGCGGTCAAAATGGCAAGCTAGGAACAAGCTTCTTCTCTACAAGTTGAAAAGTTACAAATAATACACAATTTGGGTTGCATTTCGACTGTTTGGATACCTTATGATTGGGCATATTTTGAGTGGAATGATTACTCATTGGCAATGATGGCTATGCCTGCAATAGGGCTTTGGACCTAGCTGAATTTTCCTAGTTGCATAAAATAATCAATGTCAATAAATTAATGAAAATTAAAGCAATTTTATTTGTTTCCCAGATCAGATATTCATGTAGATATAACCCATTTATTTCGTTATATACTTTCAGTGTCAATAAATCAATGGAAATTAAAGCAATTTTATTTGTTTCCCATATCTAGAATTCATGTCAGGTCAGATATAACCCATTTATATCGCTATATACTCTCAGTGTAAGTAAATCTTTTTTTTACACACATTTTCACGTATCCAATATACCCTCCGACTCCCACATAATACCCTGCCTACAAAAGTAAGTAAAAAGTTGCTTTCATCGCTTTGTTTTTTCGCTGGGTATAAAATTTTCATTTCCCTTCGCATAAATTATGATATATTTTACCTCAGGGATAGACGGGGTGACGGGGTGGGGGCAACGGTTCTCTAAATGTTTCTCCTACTCATGTAAATTTGTACTCAAATTAGGGTTATTAACTTACCATAATTTCAAGATTTGTTTTTGCGGTTATGCTGCAATGAGAAACAAATGAGAAAAAAGTACATTACAAATGTGATTAATCAAGTTACATTTAAGGCTCTGCTCTGCGGTGCTCTGCTGTGATCTGCTCTGCTGTTTGCTATTGAACATTCGCTTCAAATAAAATAAGTTTGCACTCGAAGCGAACAAACAAACTTGAACTGCAGGCAAAAGTGAAAGATAAATTTGTTCGAAACAAATTTCAAGCTCAACTTGAAACTGACATAAAAGGCTATCGCTGCAGTCGGCTTTTAATTAGCCAATTGACATCTGACTTTTCGTTCAAGTTTGACTTTGTTTTTGGCTTAGATAAAGTTGTGCAACTTGTTGTATTTGGCAGCATAAATAAAATCACCTTAAATATCCCCTAAATGGCTCGAGAGGCTTAAATATTTATTGGCCAAAAGCAGATAGAAATTTGAGCTTTCTGTTGTATTTCTAGCTCAAAGGTAAACCGACAAAAGCAAAAAAAGATGCCAAATATTTGCATGGGAAATACATAGCTGCAGCATTGTGTGTGAAATTAAATTGTTTGGTGAAATTTTTGCATAACAAAAAATGGCCATAAATTATACAAATATTATTTGCGTATTCGTTAGATATTTTAGATATATATTTTCAATGGCATAATATATATTTTTTTGTTTTGGTTGCATTTGTTATATAAGAGAATATTTACAATAAAATAATATATGCAAATATTTCGCAATTGTTGCAGCTTTTATTTTTATTTTATTTGTAGTTTCTTTGAATGTGAATCTTTTTATTTATGCATGATAAAGAAAACAAGATTAAACTAACATTAAAATGTAATGCTCTCTCTCTTCCCATTTCTTTTAAAATGAGGAAAAACTTGTGGAAAATTCTGCGCTTATAATTTCAGTCATCTTAGTTTTATTTCTGCTGACTGCCAACAATTATCCCCACTAATTGGATGAGAACTTTGCTCATGCCACCATGCAGCAGCAGCGTGTCCAAATAAACACTTTAACTGGCGGTCATCTTATCGTACATGAACATACTCGTATGTATGTAGCTTCTGCCCACTTAAAAAATAACTCTGCCCAAACTGTACTCGAAACAGAAGATAAAAAGACTCAACTGGAGTATAAGTAAGCCACGACCTCCGAGGGTCAGCCGCAATAAAACTAAGTAAAAGCTCGGGCCTGGCCTTTAATGCTGCCCTAGTGTCTGGGTCTCTGCCACTCTGCTTCTCTTTCTGAATATTTGTTTAACAATTAAACTTTGCTGGAGAGTGGTTTGTTTATGAGTGTGTTCTGTGCGTGTGTATAAAGATTATTATCATTAAGAGTTGGGTGAGTGAGTAACTGCCAAGTAAAGGGGAATGACAAATTGTGAGAGCAAATTGCAGTTGAAAATTGTCATCAACAGTGGAGCTTCCAAAAGGGCGAACAATCAACATCCGCCACAAGAGAATTTGAGTTGTAGATTTATAGTTTCAAGGAAAATATTCTTTCAAATTTTATATGATTAATTTTTAATATTTTTAGTTGCATTTGCCGATGCTTTACTGTAGCAACTTCATGGGTTTGGTTTAACTCGTGTTGCAGTTGGTTTACTTTTTCAATTTGTGTGCGTTGCATTCACATAATTGCCACATGGAGTTGCATGTGCAACTGCACTGTGCAACCGACTGCTGACTGCCGACTGCCGCTGCCGCCCTTCAAAAAAAAACTGCATATGAGAGGAGCCGTGACTCGACAGCCTTCTTCTTTGATGCCGCAGAGGATGTGGGAGAGCATTGAGGATGATGGGGCTGCGGCTGCGGCTGCTGCAGCTTCTGTTGCACAATGCACGAGATGTGCGTGCAGCTGTTTGTTGTTGCTCGTTCCATGTTGTTTATAAGGTTGTTGTTCTTATTGTTGTTGCTGTTTTCGGTTGCTGTTGTCGGGTGTCTCTCCTCACAGTTGCTTTAATTATTGTCAGCCAAACTGTCGCGGCCGCCTTGCCGCATGTGTAATTTGTTTGTGTCGGTGGCTCCGCTCCGCTCCACTCCACTCCACTCCGCGCTTTTCTTTTCTTTACTTCTCCGCTGCCTTTGCTTTTCCTTTCCCCTTACTTTATTTATATTTTTTTATCTGTTTCCGACTTTTAATTAATTTATGTGTCTGTCATTTTACCGAGGTGCTTAAATAGTGCGTTGCATTCACAGTTTACAGAAATCCACGGACCAAGGAGAAGCAGCGCAGAGGCAGCGCCGCGCCAGCTGTGGGCGGCACTTGAATCATTTCATTATCAACCGTTATGGCAGAGGCCGGCTCCTCAAGGTTTTTTATGCAGCAAGAACTGAACCAGCTGACCCAGTTCCCCCAGGGGGAATCGTTCAAGAGTGGAACTGGTTGTTCAGTTCTAATGGTTTTTAGAAGTCGGGAGAACTAATTTTAGTGGCTAATTGTTTGCGTAATTGATGCTTAATTATTGGCTGTGTTTCTAAGGCGAAAAATTCCAAAGAAATTATTGCTTAAGATAAATAAAATTAAAAAAAATAAAGCTGTTATTTAAAAGTTCATTAGAAAATTTAAATGGTAAGTTAAGTACATTTTTTGGTAAACGATTTTTGTCTGGGTGCTCCAGACTTTCTTCAGTTTGCGTATTAAAATCTTAGCTGCAACTCTATTTGATGATAGATTAAAGCATGAGCATAATTATAATATCAACTGTCATTTAATGTCTCTGCCAACCCTCTTTGCCCTATCTAATACCCTTAAATTTAAGTAAACTAAATGAGGAGATTCCGTTAGCTGATTTGCCCTTTGGGCGTTTGGTTCCACAAATGTAACCTTCTTAATGGCCAACAACATTTAGCCTTCATTTTCAATTACCCGCCGTAACGAAGCGACGAAACCATTTATCAAAATCCCAAACTAGATAACTTAATTAAAGCCCCCCCCCAGAAAATCAATCTGCATATATATCTACGAGTATGAGCGCTGACAAAATGTGAATCTGAAAGCCCGCCCCCCCCTGAAACACCATCTCCTGAGAGCAAGCAGTGCAGTCGAAGCGAACAATGGGCCAAGCAACAACAACATCCGCTTATCGCGATAAATCAAAGCCACGAGTGCTGTTAATTTTCCAAGAATATTTTTGGTTACATACTCGTAGTGGGGGGGGAAAATGGTGCCCCCTTCTACCCAGAAAAACGTGCTTGTATATGGAGTGTGCGTGTGAAGCCATAAAAACAACTTGAATTTATGTTTTCACGGCAAAAAAAAATTATCTTAAAGGGGGAGCCACGGCCACAGGCCCGAAGATGTTTCGCTTGCTCTGGAGTCATTGGAGTCATCTATTCCCCAAGTCATGTGTGTGTGTGAGTACATTTCATTTTTGTGGCAACCGACTACTTGCTAATTCTAATTAAAAGCAACAGCAGCAGGAGCAGGAGCAGGAGCTGCGGCATGTCTGAGACACACTCAAGCAGAAAATTATCAACTCTGTGGGGAGGAGGAGATAGGCGGAGATAGCAAGAGAAGATCCGTAGATGAAGATATTTATGTGTGTAAGTATGAGGTGGAGTCTTGTCTTGTCTGAAAACTTCTGCTTGGCTAGGCCAAAAAGATGTTGCTGGAGTTGCTTGAGTGAAATGTGAATGAAAAAAAAAAGTGAGCAGAAGCAGAGCCCCACAGTCACCTCGGGGGCCAAAATTAAATTGTGCACATTTCCGTGGAGCGGAAATTGCCCAAGTTTGTCACATGGAAGAAATATATACATATGTATATAAACATCTTAAATCTAAGATATACATAGGTACGGAAGAAAGAAGCAAGAAACAACATTTGCCATTTATGCGTTTCCCTTGGTTTGCCGGGGTGCGCTACGCTACCCATCTGGTTCTGTTTTCAAATTGAAATTCATGACATTTCCTTCCCCTTCTCGTATTACACCCAGGCACTGCGCACACACAGGTGTAAATAATGTTTATTAATTTATGGAATTTTTTTGGTTTAAATATTACCCACTGTACATACAACAAAGCGATGCTCAAACAATACTCATTTCCATTGCATTTAACCAGAAATTAGCGAAAATTATGGGAATATCTTTTGGGTGCTTTTATGGGGTTTATGGTACATGACCTGTAGGCAATTTGCTCTGATAATTAAATTAAATGCCTAATTAATTACCAGTAGGGCTGGCCCGCGTCCCTATAGCAACTGCAAGCTGCAAATGTGCAAAATTTACTTCAAATGAACATCGCATGGCATGGCAGGGCAGGGCAGGGCAGGGCATGGCGCGTGCACATTTGGCACCCAAAAGTTGTATTGTATAATTTATGATTGAATGTACATAAATCAAATGACATGCTCTAAATTATAACAATGCCATGTAGGAAGATCCATATGCAAATGAACATTTAGACCTGTGCAGAATTTGTAAACTGTGTAAAGCGATAAGTGGCACAGAAACAAGCCCTAATTGATTAGGTACAGTTCTGTGCTCTCTGTAGTGTGGAATAATCAACAATGTAATTGAAATTGCTAAAGTTATGAATAGCAGTAGAATATAATGAGCTTCAAGTACAGTTGTGCTCTAGAGCAGTAAGCAGAGAATCGAAGCATAATGCTACAAAATTTCAAAAGTAGTAAAAGTGTTATGAAATATTGAAAAAAATTATAATGGATGTGGGAATTGTATTTTGTATCTCTTAAAATACTTTAAAAAAGTGCATCGGTGCATAGGAAGTATAGGAAGTACAGTTGTGCATGGTTTGATTATTTTCTCCCTTTACAAATATCCACCCAAGTCATGAAATTCAACTGCACATCAGCATTTTTGCTCTTCTATGTATAAACTATCATTTCATGAACCGGATAACCTTTTGATTACGCCTGATTCCGCTTGCAGTGGTATCTATTACCCACCGCATTCTCTTGCATTCCCTTTTACAGATCCCTTTCATGTACCCCACAACTTCGTTGCCTTGCCCGTTGCCTTCCCTAATTTACCACACTGACTCTTGCACTCATAAGTC